GGGGGGAGTGGTGATTCTTTCTCTGGCTGATATTAACCTTTTCAGTTTCTTAAGATTGATTTAAGTGGGGCTTCAAAGGTTTATAACTACGGAGCAGCGGGGCGACATTGTTCATGATAACGTTTGATTACGATGGTTTGAATAAAATATTTGGAATGACGACTTTCTGACTTTTGTGTTTCTGTTTCACTTCTCGTTCATGAATCTTTAAAGGTCACATATCCTCCTCCTAATTTTTAAAAAGTGTAAATAAGTCTCAGAGCTCCTCAAAACATGTGTGTGAAGTTTCTTGTTCTAAATCCACTCTGATCCTGTATTTGATCATGTCTATAAACCCCTCTATTTCAGCCCTGCTCAGAACAGGCTGTTTCTGTGTCTGTACCTTTAAATATGTAAATGAGCTGTGTCTGACCACGCCCCCTCTCTGGAAGGGCTTGGGTGTACTCTGTCTTTCTCGCTCCATGTGCTAATGTTTACGGTGAGAAGGCAGACTCAGAGGGCAGAACAAACACCTAGCTGTGGGAGTGTCACCCACCTGGGGGAGGGGCTACTGCCCTTTGTGATGTCATGAAGCAGCAGCAGCTTTTATACGCGTGTGGAACAGAAGGTGTGATTGAACCTCCCTCTGAAGGAACATCCTCACACAGACAGTCTCCAGTCATGGAGCACATTGCATAATATCAATAAAAAATAAAAACTCTCTGTCCCTGGCAGAAAAGAAGTTCTCAGACTGGACGCAGAACACAGAACGCTAAAAGAATCCTGACGGCCATTTAATCTAAAAATAGAAACGCAGCAGGACAGACCCGGAATTTACCCACAGAGGAGAGAAGCAGATGATGGAAAAGACAGAAAGAGAAGGAATGTGGAGGAGAGAGAGACAGAGAGAGAGAGAGACAGAGAGAGGGATAGAGAGACAGAGAGAGAGAGACAGAGAGAGAGAGAGACACAGGGATAGAGAGACAGACAGAGAAGGAGAGAGAGACAGAGAAGGAGAGAGAGACAGACAGAGAGAGAGACACAGAGAGGGATAGAGAGAGAGAGAGACAGAGAGAGAGCTCGACATTTTAAAGACACTCATCAAAGTGATGCTGAAGGTTCAAACATCTCAGAGTGTTTTTAGAGATTGTTTAAACGTTTGGACACTTTGAACTTCAGGTTTTTGTTACTTCCTGTTTCTCTTTGAACCTCAAACTTCACCGCCGGCTCTTTCCTTCAGAAAAGATTTTAAAGTTAACCAGAGCCAGCTGTCACTACTTCTGACCTCCAGCACACTTACTCTGACACAGCTTTAAGGGGCGACATTAGACGATGCAGTTCCTGTAGTGTCCACTAGAGGCTGGCTGCAGAAGCACAGGAAGTCACATACACACCCATTCTAAAAAGCCTGTTTTTACAGCAGAGATGAACATGTTTACAGCCTGGTTCAAAAAACCAAATAGGTGTGATTAGCTCATGTCTGGATGGACACACACTGTACGGGGGGTGAATGTTTTGATGACTCATCAGTTTTGATTTGATGAAGGATAAGAGTTATTCACAATAAGGCGTGTAGCTGACCTGATTGACAGGTGGGCGCGGTGTAACGGTTTGTCAGGAGGTTTAAAACCCGCCTCAGCTCCAGCTCTCAGCCTGTCGTTAGGTTGACTGAAAGTTAGACTGAGACAGCATTTCCAGCATGGAGACCGCCATCGATGGGACTCCAGCGCCCCCTGCAGGAACAGACGGGGACGCCACTCAGGCTTCGTTTATTAAAGGAGACATATTATGAAAAATCCACTTCTACAGTGTTGTTGAACATATATCTGTGTAACCTGAGTGTCTATAGAGAGGCGGGGCCTTAAAGAGACAGCAGCTGATATGACTCAGATGAATGAGATCATTAAAGCTGTTCTGACGACATGAGAGGGGGACATGTTTGACATTTTGAGAGTCCTGTTTTCATCAGTTTATGAATAAAACTATGAAGTTTCTCCTCCCACAGAGAGTGATGATGATGATGAAGATGATGGTGATGATGATGATGATGATGATGATGGAGGAGAGTCTCTTCCTCCTCTCTGAGCGTCAGTTTGAAGATTTTCCACTTTGATAAAAACGTTAAATTCAAATGAGCAGCAGCAGGTTCCTGCTCTCTGTGTCTCCTCTCCTCTCCTCCTCCTCTTCCTCCTTTTCTCCTCTCTTCACCTCCTCTCCTCTCCTCTCCTCCTCTCTCCTCTCGTCCCCTCTCCTCTCCTCTCCTTCCTCCTCTCCTCTCCTCCCCTCCCCTCCCCTCTCCTCTCCTCCTCCTCTTCCTCCTTTTCTCCTCTCTTCACCTCCTCTCCTCTCCCCTCCTCTTCTCTCCTCTCCTCTCCTCTCCTCTCTCCTGTCTCCTCTCTTCTCCTGAGAAAAAGTTTCAATGTGACCTACTTTTATATTTTCACATCTTTCAGGCTGATTTTATTTTGAAATGTTTTGCGCCACATCCGGGTACTTTCTTTTTGACACGCTGACCGGATGTACATCATGTGTGCACTTCAGCTTCACTCCCCTTCTCCTGATTTGTTCTCCCACTGAAGCATCCTCTCTCACACACTCTCTCACACACTCTCTCACACTGCGGGGAGTCCGGGTGAGAGAAGCGAGCGCTCACTCCGTTTCAAACTTTGGAGACTCTTTACTTTGGATTTGACTGCTTCGGAGTTTGGAGAGTTTCAGCTGTGGGGAAAAAGCTTCAGAAGGACATTTAAGAAAGTTGTTCAGACTTAGAGGGAGAATGATCGCGCGGGGGGACCAGCTGCCGCTCCAGTGAACACATGTGAGTACAAAGACGCGTTTTGACGCTCTGCGGACCGTTTGGATGTTAGAACCAAACGGGGCACCAGTCTGCAGCTTCTGCTCTTTTTCCTGATGTTTAAAAGTCACTCAGAGAAGCTCAACATGTCGACTCAACAGTTTGATGTTTGAAGTTTATATTTCTTCACCTTTGATTCTGAAATCAGCCCGAACATCTTCAGAGTGACGCGCTCTGCTGGACTCTAAACTTTAACACTTTAACTTCTTCTCTGTGTTTGAGCTGAAGTTTGATTGACAGGTCCAATGATGAGGACGATCAGGACGCGCACACACACACACACACACACACACAGACACACACACACACACACACACACACACACACACAGAAACACACGCGCGCACACACACACACACACACACACACACACACACACACACACACACACACACACACACACACACACACACACACACACACACACAGAAACACACGCGCGCACACACACACACACACACACACACACACACACACACACACACACACACACACACACACACACACACACTCACACTGGAGTCTGTTTTCTCTGAGCTGGAAAACAGAAAAAACAGAAGAAGGTGTTTTCCATGAAGCTGCTGGCTGCCTATAGCTGCATATGTTTACAATCTGTGTTACACACACACACACACACACACACACACACACACACACACACACACACACACACAGAATCTGTTCTCTAAATGTTAAGTCAGTGTGTCGTCTTCATTCTTTGGAGATATTTATAAAAACCTTCAGCAGGAAAAACATGAGGATTTTCAGGCTAGTTAAAAAAAGTCTGTGTGTTGTTGTTGTTGTTGTTGTTGTTGTTGTTGTGTATCTTTGAGGGTTTTGTAGTCCTTTGGTGTGTTGTTGTAGTTCTTAACAGTCTTTCTCTGAGGTGTTGTTCTGAGTTTCTCTCGTAGAAAAGTCTGTTTGTTGTTTCTCCTTCTCGTCTTTTTGTGATTATTCTGAAGATGTTCTCTTCCCCGCTCGCTCTTTAAAGGAAGAACGTGTGACTCTGATCCAGTAGGTGTCGCCTTTGAGCTCCAGCATGAAACCAAAACAAACTGCTGTTAGGCCACGCCTCCTCCATCCTGAAGCCTCCGCCCTCCTCCAGAGACACACCTCCAACCCCCCTCCACCTGTGTCGCATATATGAGTCCTGTAATGTTGTGTTAGCATGCTATTGTTAGCACTCTTTAGGTAGCTCGTAGCTTCACATTGTTGTGTTAGCATGCTAATGTTAGCGCTCTTTGGTTAGCTCGTAGCTTCACATTGTTGTGTTAGCATGCTAATGTTAGCGCTCTTTGGTTAGCTCGTAGCTTCACATTGTTGTGTTAGCATGCTAATGTTAGCGCTCTTTAGTCAGCTCGTAGCTTCACATTGTTGTGTTAGCATGCTAATGTTAGCGCTCTTTAGTTAGCTCGTAGCTTCACATTGTTGTGTTAGCATGCTAATGTTAGCGCTCTTTAGTCAGCTCGTAGCTTCACATTGTTGTGTTAGCATGCTAATGTTAGCGCTCTTTAGTTAGCTCGTAGCTTCACATTGCTGTGTTAGCATGCTAATGTTAGCGCTCTTTAGTTAGCTCGTAGCTTCACATTGCTGTGTTAGCATGCTAATGTTAGCGCTCTTCAGTCAGCTCGTAGCTTCACATTTCATGTAAACTGACACAGAATGAGCGTGATCTAAAAACTCTTACTAACATCCAAATAATCAGTGAGTATGTTCTTCTTCTTCTCTCTAGTTCTTGACTAAAACAGCTTTTATACACAAGGGGAGGAGCCGGCCGTCCCGTCCTTTAAGAAAAAGATAAAGACCCAGCTCGTTATGAACACCTACGACCTTCATGATGATGATGATGAGGATGATATTTAGGATGTTTTTGATTAAAACTCTTAATTACAGCTGTGGATCCTGTCATGACCTCTGGTCACTTCCTGTCATGACCTATAGTCACTTCCTGTCAGCACCTGTCAGTCTCCTCTCTCTCTCCTCCCTCGTGTTGTTCTTACTCTGATCTTCGTCTCTTTAGATAAAAGTGTCTGATACATGAATTGAATATTAAATCTGTCTTGATGCTAAAAGTCGTTCTCATGAAGACTTCTTTCTCTGGTCAAATGTTTAGAGACGACCAAATATGGAGAGATCTATAATTAGAAGAAGTTTCTGTTGAGAGGCG